GTTAACCCACTAGTTTGGCATGATAGATCACTCCTCTAATCTCAGCTACTTGGGATGGCAAGTTCCAGGATCAACTGGATGAGACTCTGTCTCAAAATAAACACTAAAAAGGGCCAGGCATAGTGGCATATGCCTGTAATCCCAGTGACTCTGGAGGCTGAGGCAGGAGGATTCCAAGTTCAAAGCCAACCTCAGCAATTTAGCAAGGTCCTAAGAAACTTAGCAAGACCCTATCCCAAAAATATATAAAAAAAGGACTGGGGATGTGGCTCAGTGGTTGAACACCCCTGGGTTCAATCCCCAGTGCCTAAATAAATAACTAAATAGTGACTTATTTTATTTGGTATACTAATCAATATTTCATATTTTGTTACAATATTTTTCTCACTCAAGAAAATGTATTTATGAAATATCCACAAAGCCAAGCTTAGCTGAATTTTATTTTGCATTATTTTGCATGATTTGTGTACAGTAATGTCTATCATGAATAGTATACTGACTAAACTGTTAGGCATGAGAAACAGAGTCACTGAAGCATAAATAGAATTTCTCTTGTCATGCAAGTGAATACACATCAGAACTTCAGGGTCCCTTATTCTTTAAAATACTACCATGCTAGAGATTGGCTTCCCCTTCTCTTCAAATCAGTCAACATGAAACTGCAACCACCATTATCCCTCCCCACAACTCCTCCACTTCTGTTCCCAGTGCTTCTTTCTAAGGAAACTTTCAGTTTCTCTCCCCGTCCTAAACAAGCTCTATTCCTTTTTAGGGGCCATAAACCTTGTATTTCTTCTTTAACTGCCTTGCTTTTCCTGAATTTGTCTTTTCTAGACTCAGTTCTAAGCATGCATTTTCTTGAAATTATTTTCTGTGCATTTATTTCCTATAGGAACTCTGAAAGTAGCCACAGTTTGAAAGATCAAGTGTTGGGGATTCTAGTTTTTACTCTGTTGTCTTCTCTTCCCTCTCTCAGCACTCTGTGTACTTTACTGTCACAAACCCTCTGTCCTCTTTCCTCCTTAATCCATACTAGCAACCATCACCAGACTTCCTGATATTATTTAGTATTTGGCATTCTTGGTCTTTGTAGTATTCTACTGTTTTGCTTAAAAGGTATTTGAGGGGGGAAATACCACATTAAGGTGTGATGGAGGAATTTATGGCAGGTCAGTGCTCCCGGTGAAAAGCCACATGAGTTACATCATATACTGAGAAAAACTGAAGAGCTGCAGAAACAAGGACAAAACACGATAGCAAAAACTTTCCTTCCCCAGCTTAAAGCCTTAAGGTGACCCAAAACAAAGCTGAGATTGTGACTAAAACACACTGCCAGCTTCCTCATACAGCTCTGCTTATCGGAGAAAGGTGTGTACTTCTCAACATCACCTGAGGACTCTGGAGTGTTTTCTAAACAACATCTGGTTTTTGAAGATTAGTAGGCCTTCAGGGACAGCACCATATTCAGGGACAGACTAGAAAGAAAAAGAGACTAAAGTCCCAAATATTAGGACTCACAGACAAGGAGTTAAAAATAACTGATACAAAATAACTGAACAAAGAAGATAGTCAAAAGAGATAAATATATGTAGATACTCAGCAAATACATTTTTTTTAAAAAAAGAATTTAACATATGAGCTGCCCAACAGGCTGGACACAGAAGGCAGGATCAGTGGACTAGAGAAGGAAGAAATTAATGAGGAAATAGAAAAAGCAGAGTTTGGAATAAAAACCTGACAATGTGGAAAGTGTGTGACTCTGTCAAAAGGTGAACAAGTTGTAATCTGAGTCCTAGACAAAGCAGCAAGTCTTAAAGAGTGACTTAGAATCCCAAACTGATGAAGGACATCAATCTACAGAATCAATAAGCTTAGTAAATTCCCTGTTCCCCCAGAAAAAAGAATTATAAAAGGAGGCCGGCAAACAAAACATACCTAGGCATACCACAGAAAAACTGCAAAAACAAAATGACAATGTCCTAAAAGCAGCCAGAACAAACAACAAATTATCTTTACACAAATGAAATAATATGATGATGGCTGACTTCTTTTTTTTTTTTTTTGGTATCAGAAATTGAACTAAGGGGCACTTAACCACTGAGCCATATCCCCAGCCCTATTTTGTATTTTATTTAGAGACAGGGTCTCACTGAGTTGTTTAACACCTCGCCACTGCTGAGGCTGAGGCTGCCTTTGAATTCATGATCCTCCTGTCTCAGCCTCCTGAGCTGTTGGGATTATAGTCATGTGCCACCGTGCCCACCATGGCTGACTTCTTAATTGAAAGTGTTGAAAGAATTACCAACCTAGATTTCTACATCCAACAAAAATTAAGATGAATTAAAGCAATTTCAAGTAAGTAAAAGCTAAGAGAATTCACAGTGAGTAATCCTATATTATAATGTAGTATCAAAGGAAGTTCTTTAGGCAGAGGGAAGATTACTGACAGAAAAACAAAAATGTAGGAAGAACTTCAGAATCATAATAAATGAATACTGACTGCACAGAACAATACTAGTGATGTCTTAGGAGTTTAAAACATGCAGAATTAAGATACTTGACAAGAATACTGCAAAAAGTAAAAAAAAAAAAAAAAAGAGAGAGATGAACAGCTTTAAAAGTGATTCTAGTATTATCATAGCTTTTATTATAATGTAATACACCAAAAAGGCACACTGTAATTTCTGAGGTAGTCATTAAATAAATAGTAAAAGGTTACCAGAGAGGGAAAATAAAATAATCATCATTGTGCTCACAAAGTTCAAACTTTTCAACCTAGAATGCAAAGCTCTTCACAAACTGTCCCCACTTCTTGATATCCTATTCAAGAAACCTCTGCTAACCCTAGAATACCTTTTAATTACCTTCAAACATTTCCTCCACCCAGAATGTCCTACCTACTTCTTTCTACTTATCCAAATTTTACCTCCTTTTCAAATTCCAGTTCCAGTCTTAACCATTCCTGAATTTCATGTGACATTATTTCCATACTGAGTTACCTCCACTGAAACTTCATATAATATTATATTAGTAAAAATTAGATAATTTTTATATAATCATATAAAGCAGTTCACCTGTACATAACTCTTCTCTCAGCTGGCTACCTAATATGCCCTCAAAATCGGAGGAGTTTTCATTTCTTTTCTTTTTTCCATATTAGCCACAAAGTACTAGTCACATTGTTATTCTATACCAAACATACCCCCCCCCAAAAAAATTAACAAAACCACAATGCAATTAAAAAGAAAGATTTTTTAACAAAGGGTAGTTATTACAACAAAATGTAACTTAGCATATCCACAAAGGTTTTTCCATTGGGGGAAAAAAAAGAGCCCTCAAAAACAATGATCAATTATGCTATTTGGAAGTTTTCTAAACTAAATACATGAGAGAGTTCACTCAGTAGAAACTCAAACTCAGTGACTGCCATCAAGCGGTCTTGCTTGTGCCTTCCATTATTTTGAATTCATCATGTGGAAGGACTGTGTTTTCTACCCAAGGTCATTATAGCCAACACTGTATCATCTTATATTTCGTACTATCTAGCAATCATCAGCACAATCTTAGAAAGCAGGCATTATTATCTCCGTTTATAATTAAAAAAAAAAAAAAAAACAGAAGCAAAGACAGAAGTTTCAGCTAAGCTACACAGGACACAGCTGGGTAAGGGATGGAGCCAGCATCAGAACACACTTCCTTCTGATTCTACAATAGGAGATAATACTTTTTGCTTGGCATTCCGTATGAACTCCTAGACCCAACTTTATTTTGCTTCTAAGAGAAATAAGTCTCTTACTTGTCAGGCAGCAATTCTGCAATGAAGTGTTCTACAGACACAGCAGTCTGCTTTTCATGGATCACTCCAGTTCGTCGCAAACTGTCTATACGTTCCTGGGCACCCTAAAAAACAACAGCATAGACTGGAAACCATTTTTCTAAAATATACTAATTTATGATTACACACATAATATTTGCAAGCATTTATAAACAAACACACATATACGTACTGTTTGAACATTTATAGTGATATAAATGTTCAAACAATACATAAATATAGAGTGAAAACTGAAAAAGTCCAATCACATTCGCTTAGTATTGAGTTTGGGGAACACATCCTAAATTATTCCCTTCTGTACTATTACGCTGGCTACCACTGTTAAATTGATTATTTTAAATTACATTTTCTAACTGAACACTAATATAAGAAAATTGCATTTTTTAGTGTTTATCTGGCAAGAGACCATCTTACTTAATAAAATTTTATCAATCCCAGTAGTTTCTTAGCCAATTCTCTTGACTTTTTATGTAGGCAAATGCTTTCTCTCTCTCTTTTTTTTAAATAATTTCATTTAAATATACATGCATCAAAATGACTAGTTATTTACAATAAAAACATGAAAATATATACATTATACCAAAGCTTATTCATGAAATAATTACCATTAATGAAGCAAAACTGAGTGGTTGGGAACACTGCACAGATAACTCAAAATCATGCACTAAACATATATCATACAATAAGAATTTAAAAGTTGGATTAGTGAGGAATGGTTCATGTTTACTACTTTTATCTGAATCAGTTCATGAATGAAGTGATAAATATGTTCATAAGGCAATGTGTTCAAAATCATCCCATTTCTGAACAAAATTAGTGATGATAATATACCAATTTTAAGGAAAGAAGAGCTAAACAAAGAGAATAAGAAAAAATGATCAATCTCATTCAAATGAAAATTAAGAAGGCTAGAACATTTTTAGGGACAAATAAATTTTTTTAACACAAATGAAGAGAACATGACCACTCTAGGAGAACAGGTACAACATTTTAAGACACTACCTTGGAAAAATGAAATTATTTAAACTAGATCACCTTAAAAGGAAATTCTGGAAGAACATGGCCGCCGGCGAAGAGGCAGCACATTCAATGCGTCCGTGGTAAGGGGATCAGAGAGACTCATTAATACACCCACAGGCGTCAGGCTGAGAAACTTCAAGCAAAATTCCACTGAAAGGAGACCTACAGGGAACTATGACTTCTTCCCATCCCTTCTAATACCTTTCCTCCCAAGCATCAAATAAATTTATAGGAGTAAACAGTAACTCAGCAGTCAAACAGA